GTTGCGCATATCAATTGTGGGCATTGTCGGACTACACTCATGTATCCTTATGGTGCATCATCTGTTAAATGCGCGGTTTGTCAATTTGTTACTAACGCTAATGTGAGTACTCTTATCTAATTAAGTCACTTCTGCATGGCTGAGTTAAATGCACTTTCTCTCGGAATTTGATTTCTGATTTATGATTTTTCATCCACAGATGAGCAATGGAAGGGTGCCTATCCCAACTAGCCGGCCAAATGGTGCAGCCTGTCCCGTGACAATGCCCTCTACATCGACTGTGAGTTCTATCAATCATAGTTTTTGTAATAATTATGTAAGATTCTAATGGAACCGTTACTTACTCTGTTCACTGGATTTTCATTTTCCATCAGTCAACACCACCGTCTCAAACCCAAACCGTTGTTGTAGAAAACCCCATGTCCGTTGATGAAAGTGGAAAGCTGGTGAGTATTAGTAGTATTTCATTTTCTTGCACATATCGCCTTTTTCTTTGTTCTTCGTTACTTACACGATAGAATAAGATTTGACAAAGTGGCTTAAAACACATATTGCAGGTGAGTAACGTCGTGGTTGGAGTGACTACCGATAAAAAATAACCAAGATAAATGAGTGATGTGAAAGATCATATCAAACTTCTTCTTCGTCTATTCCTGCGTCTTGTTTGTGCATATTACATACCGCGGAAATACTGTATGTCTATATATCGCCCGACTCCTTTTTAACCCGAGGAAAACAGACTTTATTCAGAAACTCTTGTTGTATGTTTTGGAAGATTTTCAGAGTTGATGACCACAAATGGTTTTTGCTCAAATAATCTTGCATTCTCTTACTCCATGGAACTTGATTCTCTCTTCTCTTTATAGACTTGTAAACTCCATTGTCCCTTGTAGCATTGTTAATGTATGTATCAATATAATCTATAATACAGCATTAAAGTTTGGGTTTGAAATGGAACGTAACCAGAAGATCTTAGCTTTGGTAGATAAGACTTGTCTTAGATCAAGTCTTGAACTCTGGAAATCTAATCTTGTCAAAACAACCAAACCTAATCAATACCCTCCAAGAAAATTAAAGTTAGATGATCAGATAAAACCTAAAAACAAGACCAAACACAAACCCTTTTTCATATAAATATAGAGAGATTCATCACTCTTTTTCTCTGGATCACTCACTGCATGAACAATGGCTAGAGAGAAGATTCTGTTGGGGCTGAGAATATTTGCATTCATGGCTACTTTAGCTGCAGCCATTGTAATGGGTCTCAACAAAGAGACAAAGACTTTGGTTGTGGCCACCATTGGTACTACTCCTATCAAAGCTACTTTAACCGCTAAGTTTCAGCACACACCGGCTTTCGTGTAAGCGGAATAAATACCCTATAGACAATTCGATTCGATAAATTCCTACGAAAGTGAAATGTTTGAAGTTATTAACATTACTAATTCTTGGTGAAAATTGTATGCAGGTTCTTTGTTATAGCTAATGTAATGGTTAGCTTCCACAATTTGCTGATGATTGTTCTTCAGATATTCAAACCGAAACTGGAAATCAAATGTTTCAATCTCATCTCCGTCGCCATCCTCGACATGGTATAAACATATTATGAACACACGTATAGTAAGATTGATCATATAACATAATGTGTATTTAAGTTTTAACTAAAAATAGTAACCAACCAATATAGAATGGAAACTAGTATAGTTTTGGTTTGTTCAGCTTCGTTTCGGTTTTAAAGGTTTGATTTTTGATTAACTCGGTTTGGTCTATATATGTGTGTTTTTGACTTTCGTTTTCTTGATTGTTAAAAAAACGTTTGGAAAAAGCTAAACGCGAGTCTAGTATCTGCGGCTGCAAACGCGGCCGCGTTCATGGCGGAGTTGGGAAAAAACGGGAACAAACATGCCAAGTGGAACAAAATATGCGATAGGTTCGCCATTTATTGCGATCACGGCGGCGGAGCACTCATAGCCGCCTTTGCCGGAGTGATTCTTATGCTCCTCATCTCCGCCGTCTCCATTTCTCGCCTCTTAATACATTCTAACAAATCCGCCGCGGCCTCATCTCCGTCGTCTCTTGCCGCCGTCTTATAACATATGGTCGGAAATATCTTCAGCAATATGTAAACGTTTGTGTTACTATGTATCTATGTGTGTTTTGTCCAAGTCTCAAATGATTATCAAAATTGGCTTTTATGTATATAGGGAATTTACTAGGAAAATACTGACAAATTTATTTAAAACCACTCAATAACTAAAAAACCAACTTACATAACAGATTTTAGCGGAAAACTCTCAAACATCGGCCGATTCATTTTAAACATTTTAGTTAAATTGTTAACTAAAAAATCTCGAATAGAGAATTTTTGTCAAAAAGCTTAAGAAATTGGCATTTAATCAAATAGAAAATGACTTGTGTGTATTTTCTTTATCGCTATAAGAAATAATAATGCGGTATCCATATTGTCGCTTAAAAATCCCAAAATCTTGTAAAGTATAATCGTCTTTTATTTTCTTGCGTTTCTCTTTAATTTTAGATGCATTCAATTTCAATTTATGAAATTTTGCATGAATTTGTCAGTTTTTATCGTTTTAAGCAACACAAAAAGAAAGACTTGAGTCGTATTGGTTGATCGTTTACGGTTTTCAATCGATTGCATTGATGGTATTTTCAAACAAACACCACGTTTTCCTATGTATAAAAGAAATATACACCATCACTTAAGTTTAACAAATCAAAATGCAGATGATTGATAAGTCATGTA